CCATTTCTCTTTGCCTTTGGGGAATTATCTCCAGCCCTACTACCTATTTTATATGACTTTGGTAAAGCTGCTCACCCACTGGGTAGACACGTGATCCAGGATCCAACTAAGAGTACCTCGGCCCTCTGACTACAATGCTATTCTAGAGATGTACCATGACACAGCAAGGCTAATTAATTAAGTCCTTTCCTTGAAACATGGAGGAAAAGGGGTACTCAGCTGAAATGAAGTATGCCTGCAGCTGCCCGTACAGTGTTTTCCATACATGGAAAATACCTATTTGCAAAAGGAGAGAAAGTGGAGAAATGAGAGAAAGATTCCTGATAACAATATCTGAGTCCCTGGCTCCAGCCAATTCAGAAGCCCTCCTATCCTTCACAATACCCTTTTTTTGCTTAAACTAGTGAGTTGTGTTTCTGCCCTCAACAATGGGGAAAAGCTCTATATATTAACTATTCACAGAACTGTTGCAAAACTGAACCATAAGAAAAGTGCCTGGCAACTGCAGGTACTTAATAACTGGGTCACTGTTGAAGTTGTTATTCCTGTAATCAGGAAATAGCACCAAAGAGTGAAAGAAAAGCACCGCCAGAAACTAAAAACAAAAGGCAGGTAAGCCTAAAATAGCATTCCTGGCTGGAGGTAGCAGTTTGTGGACTAATATGGAGAAAGTAAGGACTCAGGTAAAGAGAGAACCTATAAGGCTCACAGATATCATCAGACTTCAAAAGAATTGACAGTGGAAGAACTAAGAAATTTTACTTCTTGCACTAAAATTCACAATAGAGTATGACTGACCTCCCAAAGCAGTTTGTATTTTCATAAGATCAGTATCTCAATGTTTAAAGAGATCTCAAAATGTACCACTATGATTTTCAAACCCCCAAAACCAATCTCAAAATTTAAGATCTCATAGGACACAACTTAATTTCATATGGTTCATAATTATTGCTTTAGTCATCATTGTTTCCTAAGTTCTGATATAGATTTATATATTAAACATTTATGACAACTTTAGGAAAGTATCCTTCAACTTATGAAACAGATAAATTCCTTAAAGTTTTACCCAGAAAGAACTGTACCATCACTATGTACAGCTGATCCTTGAACAATGCTGGGGTTAGGGATGCCAATATCCTGCACAGTCAAAAATCAGCATAATTTTTGACCACCAAAAACTTGACTACTAATAGCCTACTGTTGACTGAAAGCCTTACCAATAACACAGTCAACACATATTTTACATATTACATACTGTATTCATACAATAAAGTAAGCTAGAGAAGATAAAGTGTTATTTAAAAAATCATAAGGAAGAGAAAATACATTTATAGTACTATACTGTATTTACTGAAAAGAATTATAAATGGACCCATGTGGTTCAAACCCATGTTGTTCAAGGATTCAACTGTAATATGAGAAGAAATCACAAAACTAGATTATGCATCCCCCAACCACTCACTAATCAATAAGCCAAACTGAAGTATTTTGGAGAAAATTAAGACTTAACTCCATGGCACTCTGAACATTGCCATACCCCCAAAACAACCATCCCTCATTTAGCAGTTAGAATCGTATGTGCAAGGCGTTGTGCCAGCCTAAGCGCCACAAAATGGGCTCCATTAGCTAAACTCAAGTATTTAGCTGCTACAATCTGATAAAGTTCATCATTTTCCCAACACACTGGGAGTGTGTGTGGGGGGGGATATTAAAGGAATTTTCTTGATTTTTTCCTATTTTTTAAAATATTTTTTTAAAGATTTATTTGAGAGAGAGAGAAAGAGTGTGTACGCAGGAGTAGGAGGAAGGGCAGAGGGAGAGAATCTCAAGCAGACTCCCTGCTGAGCACAGAGCCTGCTGTGGGGCTCAATCCCACAATCCGTGAGATCATGACCTGAGCCGAAACCAAGAGTTGGATGTTAACCAACTGAGCCACCCAGGCACCCCGGAATTTTAATTTTAAAATGTTATTCTAAGTTTTTTCTCAAACGCTATGGTCTTCCTCTACCTATTCAACTAGAATCCACTGTGAGGTACCATCTGATTTAGCATATAACTACATACTTAAGCTACTTTATTTTGGTTCTCAGTGGTATTCTGCAAAGAGCACCTCAATTTTTACAGAAATTTGAAATGCAGTGTTAAGAGATGAGGAATCACTTATAAGCCAGAACAGATCAAGTATCTCAGTAAGTTATCTAACTACAGAGGAAGGATACAAAAATTTAAAAATAAATTTAAAATAAGAAAAATATAAATGATAAAACAATAAAACAAGTTCTACAGGCAATCTGTGTAAGCAGTGAGATCATGAGAGAAATGAAATAGTAGTAGCAAAAAAGATGATTCCAAAGAAGTAGGCTCTAGGCCAGGCTTTGACAAGGCAGACAGGCAGCCTGGTGCCAGTTCTGGGCTGTGCTACGATGCTACAACTGCAGATCTGTGAGTTTTATCTCACAAGCTCATGGGCAGTTAGAAAAAGAGGTGTCACAAGAGAACTTTAACTCAGTAGGGGCGCCTGGGTGGCTCAGTTGGTTAAGCCTCTGCCTTCGGCTCAGGTCGTGATCTCAGGGCCCTGGGATCGAGCCCCGCATCGGGCTCCCTGCTCTGCGGGAAGCCTGCTTCTCCCTCCCTCACTCCCCCTGCTTGTGTTCCCTCTCTCGCTGTGTCTCTCTCTGTCAAATAAATAAATAATCTTAAAAAATAAAAAAATAAAATAAATAACTCAGGTAACATATAAACTCCCAGTTTCAGAGTGACTTTATAATTCAGTCTAAATGTACTGTCATACAGCATGAAAACCTCAATAAACTAGGAAACAATCAACAAGTCCTCTAATCAATGATAGAAAACATATAAAGTCCAGGTTCTTGTCAGGAACTAGAACTAAAACTTCTCTGTTGTTCAATCCTTTTTAAAAACTTAATTACAGGGCGCCTGGGTGGCTCAGTTGGTTAAGCGACTGCCTTTGGCTCAGGTCATGATCCTGGGGTCCCTGGATCGAGTCCTGCATCGGGCTCCCTGCTCGGCAGGGAGTCTGCTTTGCCCTCTGACCCTATCCCCTCTCATGTGTTCTCTCTCATTCTCTCTCTAATAAATAAATAAAATCTTTAAAAAAAAAAAAACTTAATTACAAAAATAACATGCATAGAGGCTTTTCTCTGAGTGGTTCCGAAGGCCATGTAGTCTATTTATTCCTTTAGACATTTCTAAATTGTATTCTTAGATCAGGCCAGATTAGACCACTGCTGATCCATCTCACTCCTAAACTGTCTCATAAAATTGCTTTTTTGTATCGTGATATTTGCTTACACTAAGGGATATTAAGAAAAATCATAAAAAGCTCATTGTTATGGCTGCTGGAAGAATGCTATCCAAATGCTGTCCCTCTTTACGTACATCAGGTCTCAGGAACATGAAGAGCAATGTTTTTATCCAGTGGACACCGAATCCTGTAAATGATTCATTATCCTCCTCTGTTTTGGCCATGAGGAAGCTCAGAGAAATATTTCCAGCCCTTTTCCAACAAATGAATGGACTATGTAGTTGCATCTCCAGAAGGAAATGTTACTTCAGTTTATTATTCTATCTTTATCTCTACTTTCATGTGATTCTCTTTCCTGTGCTCTTGAATTATTTTTTTGTGTGTGTGAACTGCCTCACATCCTTTGTGGAATAAGATGGGGTACAAAGAAATAATACATAATCTAGAATTCAAAACAGTTAGAATTGGAGGGGTGTTAAAAATTTACCACATGATACTCTTAAGAGAGAGGAAGAAAAATATTTGCAAAAAATTGTTCTTCCAAGTCCAGGGCATCTGTCAGAATTAATATATGTTCAAACAATCTTCTATAATGTTGACATAGGTCTACAGTACGATACAGTATCAACTGAAACTCAGAATAATGACCAAGGTACTAAAAGAGCCTATTAAATAGAATATTAAAATGTTGCAAGTTTTTCTCCATAAAACAGAAACAGGTTAGACATAATTTTAGATACATTTTAACCATCATCACCACATCTTCCAGTTAAACCCTTTAAAAACCCAGTTTAAGATAAAAGCTCATTATCTTACCATTACCTAGTTAATCTAAGTAATTATGGACATTCTCTAAGGTTCTATTCTGGCCTCTCAGAAACTCAGTGGGCATTACTACCCTCACAGTTTCAACTTCTATGTGAATGATTCCAAAATCTCTATCCCATCTCAATTGGGCTGCCTAGTCACAACCTCAAGTAAAATATTCAAAATCGTGCTTAGTTATCTTTCTCTTCTTCTTCACCCCTATAAGCAACCCTTCCCAAAGAGCTCATTCTGTCCAATTCCAAGGCTTCAAAGTCATCTTTGGTATTCCATCTCTTCATCTCTGGCATTCCATCTTATCAGGCTTAACCATTTCTTCTTTTGAAGTGTCTCTGTGACTGGCATTTTCTTTTTCATTTGCACTTACATCTTACTAGGTCAGGTCCTAATTATAAGTTAATCTCTCTCAGACTTTCTATTTCACTGCCTCAGCATTGTTTTTTAGCAAGTCACTTCCCTCAAACCTGCAGTAACAGCTTCCTATAACCTATTACATCAAAGTGACATCCCTCAGTCTGAACTTGCAGGGAAATCCAGGATCTGGCCCCACACTAATTATCTCACATTTCCCGTAACTATCCCTAAATCACCATTCACTACACCAAACAGGTGAATACACCCCCAAGGCCAAGTCATTCTTTACTTATTCTGCTTCTCCTCTCTATACTTGGAATGCCCTCTTCTCTGTCTTAGCCAAATCTTACTATTCTTCAGGACATGGCTCATGCGTCATCTCAATAACGAAGCTCTCTCCTACATGATGACTACTGTTTAGTTCAGAACCACATGATTCTTGACTTGAACACTTTCCTAAACTAACCAATCACTACTTTTGACAGCAACCACTTAAATTTCATGCAAAAGGCAACCACTAGGCAAATGATTCTAATGGAGGAAACTGAAGTCTTACTTAATGTTATAACGTCCAGTTTTCAGTGTACATCTATCAGGAAGCTGAGCAAGTTTCTTCGAGAGCATTTTAAAATACTTCCTGCACTCCTGCACGCCTGTGCCTTGTTCATAGTCAGTAGAAGCAGAAAGCGGCAGCCCATCTCTGACACGAATGACTGACGCAGATAAAATCATAGACATTTCAACCAGCAGAGGATACCTAAAACAAAATGAACAATTGAGGTTAGATAAAAAATGAAAGCCAAACCTGATAAACAGTGCAAAAATGTTCAACTCACTAATAATCAAAGATTCACTAATTAAAACTATGACATACTACACTTTCCTTAACAAATTAGCTTTTAAAAAATAAAAACTGTTGGGGCACCGGGGTGGCTCAGTCGGTTGAGTTACCTGCTCCTGATTTCAGCTTAGGTCATGATCTCAGAGTCCTGAGATCCAGCACCACATCAGCCTCTGCACTCAGGGTGGAGTTTGCTTGTCCCTCTCCCTCCCCCTCTGCCTCTCCTCCAGTGCATGCGCTGGCTCGCTAAAATAAATATTTAGAAAAAAAAATTTTTTTTAAATAATACTTGCTTCTTTTTGGCATTCTTATAAGTATTTGCAGAAGTAAATATTGGAGTAAACACCATTCTCAAAATAATTTGGTGATATTCAAAAGAGTGTAAAAATACTGATGCCCTTTGACCACAAGAGCAATATAAATATATAACCATACCCTAAGGGAAGTAATCAGATTCAAACAAAATTTTAAACAGATTATGCTAAGTGAAATAAGTCAAGCAGAGAAAGTCAATTATCATATGGTTTCACTTATTTGTGGAACATAAGGAATAGCATGGAGGACATTAGGAGAAGGAAGAGAAAAATGAAGGGGGGGAAATCGGAGGGAGAGACGAACCATGAGAGACTATGGACTTTGAGAAACAAACTGAGGGTTTTGGGTGGGGGGGATGGGTTAGCCTGGTGATGGGTATTAAGGAGGGCATATACTGCATAGAGCACTGGGTGTTATACGAAAACAATGAACCGTGGATCACTACATCAAAAACTAATGATGTACTATATGGTGACTAACATAATAAAATAAAGTTTAAAAAAAATTTTAAACAGAAAGGCATTCTTTCACAGAAATAACCAAAAACAATCTAAACATCCAACAATAGGGGAATGGTTAAATAAATTATAGTACACCCCTATGATGGAATATGATGAAGAACAGTTATGTTTATGAAAAAGAGTTCAATAATGTAGTAAAATGCTTACATATAAATCAGAAAAAAAGCAGGATAAAAACTGCAAATGTTGCTTTCTATAAAGACAAAGAAGAAGGGAGGGATAAATGGAGAAACAGATATCAGAAGGAAACATGCTAAAATTATAATAATGCTTATCTCCAGAAAATAGTATCATGGGTGACTGTTATTTTATAATTTCCTAAATTTTCAAAATATTCCATAGTGGACATATATTACTTTTATAATCAGAAAAAAAGTTTTATTGGGGTGCCTGTGTGGCTCAGTCAGTTGAGCGTCCAACTCTTGATTTCAGCTCAGGTCATGATCTCAGGGTCTTGAAATTGAGCCCCCTGTCAGGCTCCCCACTCAGCAGGGAGTCTGCTTGGGATTCTCTCTCTCCCTCTGCCCCTCGCCCCACTGATGCACACTCTCTGTCTCTCTAAAATAAAGATATCTTTAAACAACAACAAAAAATTATAGTAAGTCTTAAAGCTAAAGGAATACTGGTTTTAATATTGCTCTCAATGTCTTTACCAGAAAATAAACCATAATGGCTTATTTTATTATATTCTGATCAAACTTCACAAAAGTAGATAAAAGGACTTCACAGGCTGGGTCTGAAAGAAATCAGGTAAACAGAAACTTTGCTAAAAACTATACAATGTTGCTCAAATTTTAGCTTGTAGAAAAACCATTGGAAGTTTGCTTAGAAATGCAGATTTCTGAACCTCCCCCTGCCCCCAAATTCTGATCCATTGACTACGAGGTAGAGCTTGAGAATCTTCCATTTTTAACAAATTCCCAGGTAATTACTATGCTCAGTGTCTACGGATCATACTTTGAAAAACACTAAATTAAAACATGTTCACAGTCTGAAATTAAGTGCTAACTCTTTCTTGCCAGGTCTTCGGAGAACAATGCCACTAAGTACTGCTTCACTAGCAGTAGGGTAAATGGTGAAAACTGAAAATTCTGAAAACAATTTCATAGGCTTTTTTCAAGATATTGTATCCCAGAGACTAAATCTTCACCTGTCCTGTTCAGATAGCTCAATATTATCTCATTCCAAAAATGAAAAACTGAGTTTGCTATGTAAATGCCAAAGAAAACCAACTGGTACCGACTTTGGAAATTAGTACTATAGTTCCTCGTTTTCATTGCTGTGTAAAGTTGCAATCTGACTGTCTACTCACGATGGTAACTGAGTGACACAAAAAATTAATCCAAACGACAAAGTTTATGCATTAAATTTACTCCCCCTTTTCCTCTTTTCATGAGGAAATGAAAGGAATAGCTAGGTATTAATATATCATTACTATTTTTCTCCTTCATTCATTTAAAAGGAAAAAAACCCAACAGGAATTAAATTAGCCTTTACCATAATGGGATCTTCTAATGGAAGTCCAACATAACATATTCAAATCATTTTTTTTTCCTATTCAATCAGTTTCCTTTCCAAAAGCAGTACCAAGAGAAAGCTGGGATTCTTCAAGGGATAATACTTAAACTACAAACCCATTTTTAAAATGTACTATGTTTTATTAATTAGTAAACCATAATTATGAGATTTAGCCTAAGTATAAGTAGGAAAATGTCTTACTTCGTACCCTCAGGCATTTATTATTTAAATATAAAATTTTTTCTTCCTGAAGTTTACTGCAACACAATGATTACTCTGGGAATTAACATGAGGGCAGGGTTGTGACTTAATAGTTTCCAAACACCCATATTCTTAGTATTTAAAAGTAGACTGCATTCTTTCTTTTTTCTTGCTATAGCTTTTTTTAATTATTATGTTAATCACCATACATTACATCATTAGTTTTTGATGTAGTGTTCCATGATTCATTATTTGCATATAACACCCAGTGCTCCATTCAATACATGCCCTCCTTAATACCCATCACCAGGCTAACCCATCCCCCACCCCCCTCCCCTCTAGAAGCCTCAGTTTGTTTCTCAGAGTCCATAGTCTCTCATGGTTCATCTACCCCTCCGATGTCCCCCCCTTCATTTTTCCCTTCCTACTATCTTCTTCTTTTTTTTTTTTTTAACACATAATGTATTGTTTGTTTCAGAGGTACAGAGTAGACTGCATTCTTTTATGCCTGATCTTTCTAGGATTACAACAGAAATATTAGGAGTAATCTTTATTATAGAGTGCCAATTTTCATGTAATCTTGTTACTTTTCTTTTTTATGAATTAAAAACAAAGGATATGATTCGTATTTCCTAAAACATATACTAAGAAACAAATACCAACCTATAAGTTCCATTCATATAACAAATATTTATTGAGTAGGTACTATATGCCAGGGACTATGGGAGACATTAGGAATACACAGTTCCTACCCTCAAGGACCATCAATCCAGAATTAAAGAAATTCAGATGAAAAGAGCAAACACAACACAAGTTGTGTCACCCACCACTTAACTAACTGGAAAACTATAGACAAACTTGCATTTCAGATATTCCTAACACACTTAGGCTTGTAACCAAACCCACAACACAGCATTGATAGTCCCTGTCAAGATTCTTAAAAGGTTGTCAGAAAACTGCTTCTGTCAGTAGATAAAATTCCTCTGAGGAGAAAAACCTAAATTTCTTCCTCCCAGAGTCATTGGACGTAATATCCAAACCAGTGGGCTAGCAAAAGAAACTGTCATGACTGCCCAATGAACAATGTCAGGCTTGACTAATTTGGACTTCAATCACTTAGGATAAGCAATCTCTCTTCTATCAACTACTACCTCTCCCCTCTTTTCTGTTTCTACTTTGGGTTCTTAATGCAGTTCCTTAAAACAACGACAACAACAACAGCAGCAACAAAAAACCCACTCCAATCTCATCTGGACTATGCTAGTAGAAAAAGATATCTGTCCACATAAAGGCCGAGCTAGGGTTAGAATACCCTTAGAGTCCAGGCACGGTGGTGGTTGGGAAAACCAAGGAAAAATTGATGGGAACTGAGGAAATCAAGAGGTTACCATGTGCATAGGAAGATTCAGGAGCAACAGTAGTTTTATCAGGCCACAGATACATTTTTAGGCCATGATCCATTTTTCCTCACCTTTAACACTGAAAAAAAAAATATGTCTCTAGACAGCAGAAAACTCACAGGGAATCTGAGTAGTGACCTGCACATCCTTTCCTCAACAGCAACTGCTAAAGGAAAAAGCCCAAATTAGAATCTGAGTAAGTCTGGGAAAACATTTATGTAGACACTGAGGAAAATAAACTCCCACTATGCCAATGCTTAGCAACTGTTTAGTCCCAGGATAACAGGATGCTGACCTCTTCTTCAGAACCTTGTGGGGTAATGACTGTGGGCCACCAGGAAGGCACTTTCTCAAAAAGTAATTAACAAAACCCAACACATATTTTATATCTACTTTCCAGCAAGATGTTTTCATAAAAGAGAAAAACATTTCATATCGGGTTAACCACTCATATCTTATTTTAGTTATTTCCCAAACTTAAATCATCCAAGTACCATTTTCAGAATTATTTTTTTTTTAAGATTTTATTTATTTATTTGAGAGAGAGAGAACAAGCAAGGGGAGGGAGAGAGGGAAAGAGAGAATCTCAAGCAGACTCCACACTGAGCTTAGAGCCTGACGCAGGGCTCAATCTCACTACCCTGAGATCATGGTCTGAGCCCAAATCAAGAGTCAGCTGCTTAATCCGACTGAGCCACCCAGACATCCCCATTTTCAGAAGTCATACCATATCTACATCTTACCTGTATTATTATTTACCTAATGAAGGTCTTTCAATTGACTTATTTTTTTGCCCTATCCTTAGCAAAATTATCTGTGAAATCAGTTTTGAGATGTTAGAGGTTTTTCTCCTAGAGATTTTTTTGTTGTTGTTTCATCCAAATATGTATGTGTTGGTTCCATGGTGTAGTGGTTAGCACATCTGCCTTACAAATATGTATGTGTTAAATTTTTTGGAAAATTTTTTAAAATGTTCATCTACTTATCACTCAGATTATCTTGCATGTGAAACACTACCTTGGTACATATTTTATTGAAAATGCTAGCTGAGATCTGTGGGAATTGGGAGCGGGGGGTTACAGGGAGAGAAAGCTATATTAATTGTGATGTGTAGGGTGGGAGCAAGATTGAGAGAAAAGGGAAGGACTTTGCACAGCCACAGGTTAACAGAAAGACACGTGAAAAACAGCTTGAAGAGGAAAAGGGGAAAGGGTACCAAAGACAATCAGAATTTATTTTGCAGCTTTGCCTATGCCCCTCACCTTACCAACAGCCTTCAATACTCCTATTACAGGTGCTTGTACTACACAGTATGTGTAAGACCTCAGGCTCCAGAGGAGATTATACCCACAACTAGGAACAGGGCCCCCAACACATGCACAAATGTGTCAATCCCCAACAGTTATGCAGCACCTCACAGCTTACAAACAATAAACTCCAAACAGTATAACCTCCATTTTACAGATGAGGAAACTGAAGGTCCCATTCTCAATGTCACATTGCAAATATATAGCAGAACTGGTGCTTAAACCTCAATTTCTTCTATCTCCACATTGCTGTGCTACATCGGTCTCCTAAAACCCACAAGGGGCAAGAACCTGGTGATACAGAAGCTATCTAGCTACTAATTTTGAAATAATAAAAGACCACCTCACATTTTCTTTAAAAGGCAGTATAACAGTTAACAGGATGGACTCTGGAACATACACCTGGGTTCAAAAACTGGCTCCACCCCTGTGCTAACTGTGAACTTGAGCACCTGTAAAATGTGGTCACTAATATTATGTATCTCATAGGATTGTTTTAAAAATACTAACAGTATCTACCTGATAGGGATACATAAAGAACCTGAAACATCACCTTGAAGAACAAAAATACAATATTGTTTATTATTATATTAACTGACTGCCCTCTATTTACCAGGCACTTTATACACTACCTCATTTAAGCCCTCCGATAACCTGTGAGAGAGATATTATCAGTTCTATTTTACCCTTGAGGAAATTCAAGCTCAGAAAAGTAATTTATTCAATTCCTACATCCGTAAGTGACAGATTTAAATGCAGGCCTAACTTTAACCACCCAGTGAGACACGGCCTCACAACATTTCCAAGCTTCCTACTCAAGTATATGGATACTTTGATAAGACCTATGCTTCTTTTAAACATCAATATAAAATATAGATTTTTTAAAACCAGTTCATACACACACACACAAAAAATCACTAAACTGATATCATGGTTCTCAACATAGAAAATGCCCAGATGTCCCATTAACTTAGGTCATGGTCACATATCAGATTCAAATACTGAACTACCTTCAATAATGGAAAGTACAGGTACTATTTCAAGTACTGCCTAACTCCTTATAATCTCAGCACGTGAGCAAATTCAGACTTTAGAAAAGTAGTTGTTCCACCTGTTAGCTGGGATCACAACATCTCCCGTCTGGTGGCTGACTGATACTCTAGCCCCGGACTTTGCCTTGGCTGTATACGCATAGGAGGCACTGGTTCTCAAGCTCTCCAACCGCCCCAGCGGATGATCCAGGAAACTAAGGCGGAGAAAAGTCCAAAGCTGTTTTCGCTGGCAGAGAGATTCAAGTCAGCTGGAGCTCGGCCTCCTATTCCGGAGCCCTCTTCCACCTGCCGAGCCAATTGCTCAGGTCTCCTTTAAGCCACATCGCTTCCAAAGTGCCATTAACAGGGCCTTAAAAGGTTTCTGTTGGCGAACGCGGGCAAATCTCTGGGCTCAATGCCCATTAAATCCCCACGGAACGCGAAGTAAGCCACTGGTTCAAATCCCACCCTGCGTTTAAAAAATAGTAAATGCCACGTCAAGCTCTCTGGGCCAGCTCAGTAGCCTAGGTGGATTACCGTGTCTCTAACAACTGGGCTCCAGGGAATGCCCCCCACTGCTGGCAGCCCACAGCGACTGTCCCTCCCCCGGAACCCCCTGCTTAGCCTGCCCCATACCCAAGAGAGGTCAGCCGAGGGGCAACCGCCGCTCGCGCGGACCCACAGTCCCCTTCAAGTCGAAGGGGACGAAGCCCCCGCCATCCCACCTCTCCAGAGCTCCGCGGCTCCAACCACCGGGCTCCCGCCCCCACGGCACGCGCTGGGTTCCTGTCCTGGGGGAGGTCTGTAGTCCCGAGGGTGAGGGCCGTGGCGGCTAGCAGGAGGAGCGAGGGGAACGCCTACCAGGGGTTCGAGCGACCCTAACAGGGGAGGAACGAGAACTCCGAAAGATCAGGTCATACCTGCCGAGCCGGGACCCGCCGCTCCGAGTGACGCGACCCGCAATGCATTGTGGGGCCAGGGAGTGGCCTTTCTGCGGGGCAGCCCCGCGTTCAACGTGGCTGGCGTCCGACGGGATCAAGCTCCGCCCCCGTTTCTTTGGCTCACCCGGGCCAATCAGGTTCTGTGGGAAGGACACACTGACCCGCCCCCTCCTGGGGCCCGATGTAGTCCCGCCCCCATCCAGGAAAGATTGGCAGCTTTTCACGCACCTGCGCCAAGAGGTTGCAAAGTCCTCTGGTGACGCTGACAGCTAGTGCTGTCTCTCACAAATAAAGCTAATCTCTTCTGCCTGCCGCTTGTGTCTGGAGGCAGTGTGTCTCTCACGCGGCCCTACAGCAAACACTTACCCAAGCAGCATGGGGGAAAAGCCCCCTCTGAGTGAGCAAGAAAAGGACTTGCCCCATCTATCACCACACAAGAGGAAGCACCTAACCTTGGCAGAGAAATGGCAGATGCAGACCCTGCGGCCCCTTCCAACCTTTGCATGGGTCATGCATTGTTAAATAAGCACTTAATGACTGTGTACCACGTGCAAAGCACGGTGTTAGGCATTGGGTTACAGGAACAAACATAACCACTGGATGGAATCTAAAGTGCAATAAGAGCAAGAGACGTTAAAGCATAAATCATTACATAATTATAAATTGTCATCAGTACTATGAAGGAAAATTAGTAGGTATGATGATGGATTAATTCTGGACTATCAGGGAAGATGTCTTTGAAGAAGTGCCTTTTAAGTTCCAGGCATATGAAAAAGCCTAAAAGAATGTTTCAAGCCAAGAGAACATTAAGTGTTAGGTTGTTGGGAGCATGAAAGAACTTGGTGTGTTCTAGGAACTGAAAGGAAGTCAGTGTGGTTGAAATGTAGGGAGCGAGCTTGGGCAGAGATGAGACAGAAGCCAGACCATGCAGGCTCTTATTGGCCACATAATAGATTTTAGATTGTATTTTGGAATGTATCCTAAGGTTAATGGGCAGCTAATAGAGAATGTTAAATAGGATCTGATTTACATATTTAAAAGCTCACTCAGGCTATTTGTGGGAAATAGTTTAGAAGAGGACAGGAAGGGTTGCTGAAAGGCCAGGTTGGAGGCAGTTATATTAGTCAACGCCAGAGATGATGGTGGCTTGAACTAGGGTAATGGCAGTAGAGACAGTGAGAGTTGGATAATTTCAGGACATGTATAAATGAGAGGTGGAATCCAAGGGACTTAATAATGGATTGGTTTTCTGGGAAGAGAAAAGAAAAGAGCATTAAGAATGACTCCTTAAGGCGGGGGCAGCAGCGCGGCAGGCGGGGGCTGAGACCCAGACTGCCAAGCAGTGGGCACCCGGGAGGCCCAGAGCGGGGCGAGCGCCATGAGCCGCAAATGCTACGTGGTCATGGTGGGGGGCAGCATCTCAGGCATGGCAGCAGCCAAGCTTCTGCATGACTCTGGCCTGAATGTGATTGTTCTGGAAGCCCGAGACCGGATGGGAGGCAGGACTTACACCATCAGGAACCAAAAGATTAAATATGTGGACCTTGGAAGATCTTATGTTGGGCCAACTCAGAATCGTATCTTAAGATTAGCCAAGGAGCTAGGACTGGAGACCTACAAAGTGAATGAGCTAGAGCATCTCATCCACCACGTAAAGGTGGAAATGAGCAGTACAGAGACATACTCCTCACTGGTAGAAAAATCATCCCTTTAGAAGACAGAAGTAACTAGCAGCAGTCAACTTAGATTTACATTAACAATGTTGACACCCTTATATTATTTGTGAGTGATAATATCAAGAAGGACAAAAAGCAGACTGTACATTATGAGTCATTTAATAAAACAGGAAATAAACATCTGTCTAATTTGGTAAAAAAAAAAAAAAAGAATGACTCCTTAAGTAACTAGATGGATTAAGAAGCCATTTACTGATTCAGGGAATGTAAAAAGAGGAGCAAATGGTTTTGGATATGAGTTTGAGATGCTTACAAACAGAGGGGTCAAACAGATTTGAATGTGGAAGTCTGGAGTTCAGAAGAAATGTCTGGACTAATTATATAAATTTGGTGGTTACTGAAGTGGGTTAACCCAGCAATTCTACTCCTAGGTATATATGCAGTAGAAACATATCCATGTGTTCACCAAAAGACATATATAAGAATGTTAATAGGATGGGGGTGCCTGGGTGGCTCAGTCGTTACGTGTCTGCCTTCGGCTCAGGTCATGGTCCCAGGGTCCTGGGATCGAGCCCCGCATCGGGTCCCTGCTCCGCAGGAAGCCTGCTTCTCCCTCTCCTGCTCCCCCTGCTTGTGTTCCCTCTCTCGCTGTGTCTCTCTGTCATATAAATAAATAAAATCTTAAAAAAAAAAAAAAAGAATGTTAATAGGATGAATAAGTTTAGAATATTCACATAGTAGAATGGCATACAGGAAAGAGAATGAACAATTTACCAGTACGCACAAAACATGGATGAATTTCACAGTCATAAAATTGAGTGAAATAAGCCAGATACGAAAATCATATATTATATGATTTTACTTTTATAATATTAAAAATAGACAAAAATAATATATGGTAATAGAAGTTGGGATATTCGTTATCCTTAAACAGTATTAATGTTTAAAAAGGGCCACTAGGGGGCTCCTGGAGTTCTAATACTGTTGTTCTTGATCTGGGTGTTGATTACACCAGTGTGTTCAATTAATGACAATTCATCAAGCTGTACACTTAAGATTTATGCAATTTTCCAGTATGTATTTTATTATTCAGTAGAAATTTTACATTTTAAAAATGTTATGGGTGATCTAGCCATGAATAAGTTACTGGTACCAGACTAACCTTCCTATAACAAACAATAGAAAACTGGACCAAATCTATGAAAGAAGTGTTTTCAAACATTGGACAATAGGCATACTGGAAAAAAAGGAAAACAAATAAAATGAGTCCAAAGGTTTCCCCAGATTTCTTTCTGGAGGTATTTACCTAAGCACAGGATAGAAAAAAGCCAAACAGATTATATTACTCCTCCTAAATGAGAGAGAAATTGGAATTAGGAGACATTGAGGCAAATGAAATTTGCAGGGCAGAATACCAGAGAAAGAGCCCCAGAAATATGCATAAGGGTCTCCATGAATCTTTGGTGTAGGTTTAAGGATAGACTTCATGAGGCTAGTTAAGTAACAACTACTGGGGGAACTGTAAGCTGAACAACTACTAGAGCTTGAATAAAGTTTGGAAACATTCAAGTTCCGACCAATTGGAATGAAGACACCTTATTGAACACCTGGGGCATTTGGTAGGGAGTCCTCACAAAGGCCACACTTTAGAAATAAGGCTAGGGGTGCCTGGGTGGCTCAGACATTAAATGTCTGCCTTCGGCTCAGGTCATGATCCCAGGGTCCTGGGATCGAACCCTGCATTGGACTCCCTGCTCTGCGGGAAGCCTGCTTCTCCCTCTCCCACTCCCCCTGCTTGTGTTCCCTCTCTTGTTGTGTCTCTCTCTGTCAAATAAATAAAATCTTAAAAAAAGAAAGAAAGAAAGAAAGAAAGAAAGAAAGAAAGAAAGAAAGAAAGAAAGCTAAACTAACCCAAGAGTAAAGCCTATTCTCTCCACTCAAACAAAGCGGAAAAAAGCTTATCTGCGAGTAATTAACTGCTTGCTTGAATGAAACTTAACAATCTTTAAATAAAGACGAAATCCAGGTGCCAAACCAGTAATACCCACAATGTCCATTATCCAATAAAAAAAAAAAAAGTTACTGAATATGTGAAGAAGTAGGAAAATGTGAACCATGAACAGAAGAAAAATCAGTCAATAGAAGCAGACCCAGAAATGGTGAAGATGATGAAATTAACAGATAGGAACTTTATTTTTTTTAAGATTTATTTATTTATTTATTTTACAGAGAGAGAGAGAGAGAGTGAAAGCATGTGGCAGGGAGGGGCAGAGAGACAGGGAGAGAGAGAGAGAGCCCCAAGCTGATTCCCCACCTAGTGTGGAACCCCACATGGAGCTCCATGCAGGGCTCGACATGGGGCTCAACCCATGACCCTGAGATTACAACCTGAGCAGAAATCAAGAGTCAGACATTCAATCAACTGAGCCACCCAAGTGCCCCAGCAGATAGGAACTTTAAGGCAGCTATAATAAATGTGGTCAAGAATTTAAAGAAAAACATAAATGTAATTAAAGGAACTATAAAAAGAATCAGATAAAACTTCTAGAGTAGTAAAATATAATATCCCAAATGAAAATTTCATTGGATGGGTTTAAATACACTTTAGACATTGCAGAAGAAAAGATCTGTGAATGAGAAAACAGTATGAAAAAATGAACTATGGGGCACCTGGCTGGCTCAGTTGGTTAAGCATCTGACTTCAGCTTAGGTCATGACCTTAGGGTCCTGGTATCAAGCCCTGCTTAGGGCTCCCCACTCAGTGGGGAGTCTGCTTGCCCCTCTCCCTCTGCCCATCCCCTTGCTCCTGCATGCTCGCTCTCTCTCATATAAATAAAATCTTAAAAAAAAAAAAAAAAGAACAAACTACACCAAACTACAGGGAGAAGTAAAGTTAAAAATAAAATGAACAGAGACTTGGTAACCGGTATAACAATAGTTATCTAATACATGTGTAACCAAGAGATCCAGAAAGACAGGAGAGGAGATTTTTTAAAAAATGAAGAAATAATAGCCAAAAGTTTTCTAAGTTTTACAAAAAACATAAAACATAGGTCCAAGAAAGAAAACCAACCCAAAAAAGGATAAACACAAAGAAATCCTTACCAAGGCACACTACATTCAAACTGCTAAAAATATTTGAAATGGTCAGAGAAAAAGCCACATAGTATACAGGGAACAAAGAAAAGAATTACTACTGACTTAACATCAGAAAGAATGTAAGCCAGAATATAATAGAATACAATCTTTAAAGTCCTAAAAGAAAAAGCTCTGTCAATCTAGAACTTTATATCCAGCAAAAACTCTTGCAAAAAATGAAGGTGAAATAAAGGCATTTTCAGACAAACAAAAGATGAGAAAACTTGTTACTAGCATATCTGAATTATAAT